GCATACGTCCTACGTCATCCGCCGAAACGGCTTGCACGTATGACATTTAGCGGAAATATGTTTTTCCGTTTTAATATTTAAAATACATTTTAATATTTTAAATATGGATATTTTTCTTACAAAAAAAGCATATGTTCTAATCACCTATAGGGTGCCTTGAGGGTGAGTGAAGCATGGGCTAATTTTAATTTTTTGGGTGAACTAACCCTTTAAAGGGGTGCATACAACATATTTTCCCACCAGCAACTATGCAACAACAACAGTTGCCGTACATTCAAATACGATTTTCAAGAAGAAATAAAAAAACACCTGGGGAAAATAAATGCAGAACCTGTTCACATAGGACACTATTAACACGACTATATGCATGAAACCATTCTGAAAAATTTGGGAACAAATGAGTTAATGTCAATAAGGGGAATTCATCCAGCTTCGATGTTACTGGCAAGATTAGAAGATGCAGGCAGACAGGGCATATTAGAAAAAATAAATTATATATATATACTTTGGGGGGGGGGAAATTTATGGAAAAATTATTTCATGACTCGTGGACAATTTTGCACTATTTTCCATTGATTTCTTCACTGCTGCTTTAGAGCGTCAGGTCTGGTTTCGTAAAACATTTATTTCTCCAAGTTGAAGTTTTTAAATGCATAATCAGTTACTGTCACAGTGATCGTGATATCTCATTACAGTTATTTATGTGCAATGTATTTTATCTTAAATGTTATATGGTACCACTATATGTTATGATGTTTTATTCACTTTGAATAAAAGCCCATGCTAAAAAAGGAATAATGTGTTTGTAAATATTGTTTCATTTTGTAGTTACAAATCCCTAATTATTATACTTACATGTTGTTTATTTTTAATTTGTATACTCATTAATTAGAATTATTTAAGTAGAAATTAGAGTTTTCTCTTGCCCAGTATAGATGAAGCAACAAGAAATGTTTTAATGTATTTTTCATTATATGAAAATAATTCATTATATTCATACACTGACTTCCCATCATCATGTTTCACAGGTGGACTGCATTTGAGCCATGAAATGCTAATGCAGTTCTATTGACGGCTACAAAGCTTACTCCGATGTGATGCACCTGGTGTTAAATATGAAGGGACACATGGTGAGGAATAGACACACACACACACACACACACACTTAAAGAATAAACACAGAAGTGACAAGAAAACACAAGTGTTTTGTATCTGAGTCAAGTCACCACTTATGGAGATGCAAACAGTACTGTAATAGTAATACTATTAAATAGGGATCATACAACTTAAATACAACATACAATAAAATCAAACACCATGCTCAATATTATGTCACAAGCTCTCACAAATAATATTTTAGTGCAAGTTCAAAACAGAATAAAGTTGAAAACAGTATTGTTTAACGTTAAGATTTATACTCTGTAACAGAAATTTGATCTGAAAGCAGCCATTTTCTGGAACTGGAATACAGCAAGAGACAACTGAATTGTGATTGAATGCAATGCAGTTTACTTTCAGTGACAAAGCGAACAGGGAGACAATGGAAAAGTCAAAGCATTTATTAATACACACAATACTGAAACTGGAGGATTACAGACGCAAAGGTACAAGTCCACCTTGAATTGCTGCTGTTTTTATGTACATTAAAACATTTTTTTTTTTAAACGGAACAGCGTCCAGCTACACTCACAGACAGAAACGGATTTAATAGTTCTGCGTCCATTATTCAATTAGACACAATTAGGCACAGGCCATTTAGGTCATTAGTAATTAATTTTTTTTTCTGAATGTCTTTATATTAGAGATGTCTTGCCATGCTATGCAGAATGTTAAACAACAGAATAAACTGGACTGGAGTAAACAGCAAAATATATAAATGTGCCCATAATGACTACAAAATAATTACATAAAATTATATCACTCAAAACCATTATGCATATTTCAGAATACACTATAAAACATCATGCATTGACACTTTAAAATAAACAAAAGACATTTTATTTACAGTTATTGTATTTTTTATTTATTTAACCTTAACATCTGTTTATTATGAACAAACATAAACTAACAGTGGTAATATATAATACCACGATAATACTGTAAATATATAGCACCATTGTTAGCACCCTGGTATTACACCACAGAGAATAACCTTCTGTTAAAATAATAAAATAATTTGAATGACAATATTTTCTGAAATGTATATCAAATATAAACACAGAGATAGAGAATCAAACTCCAGTTTTTAAAGCTTAAATACATACCAGATTAGCAGTATCCTGTTCAAACACAATTATATATGCAACACAATTATATGCAAATGTAATAATTTAACCTTCAGCATGACTTGTTCTGCAGAAATTCAGCCGTTAACATTTTCACCCTCAAACAGAAATGAGCTGTGGAATTTTGAAACGACTACCAGTTTCAGATCTCTTTGTATGTAGTATGATCTAGCAGTATGATTTAAGTGTATTAAACTCCTCAGTGAGGCTGATGTGTGTCATTTACTTTGTAGATGTGCATTTGACAGTACAATGACTGCTAACTTACCTAAATAGATACCAGGCTTGTTGGCACCAAAATAGCCTTAAATGAATCCGTCAAAACATTTAGATTCAGATGATTCAGTATATAAAGACAAACCACTTGATTTTACTCATAATTTAGATAAAATAATATATTGTGGCCAAAACAGATACAACTTAATGCATAAGCACCTACATTTAGTCATTTAAAGACTTCATCGTGAATGTTTCACATGACTAAAACACCTTCATAGACAGTGTCAACATGTAAACTACCATTCAAAAGTTAGGGGTCAATATGATTTTTTTTTTAAAAACAGATACAACTTAATGCATAAGCACCTACATTTAGTCATTTAAAGACTTCATCGTGAATGTTTCACATGACTAAAACACCTTCATAGACAGTGTCAACATGTAAACTACCATTCAAAAGTTAGGGGTCAATATGATTTTTTTTTTATATGTTTTTGCTCAGAAAAAACTTTTTGTTATAGGCTGCATCCGAAAGCCTGGGCAGTTTACTTGCTGCCTCGCTGCTTTATGAGGCAATGATTTTGCAAGCAGCATTTTTGCACGAAGGCAACTCATGAAACTGATTTCAGACAGGCTTCTGAGGCAGTGTAACGGTTTAACGATCTACAACAAAATAGAATGAGTTTTGGTGATAACTAAACGAATATTTAATTATTATAATACTGATTTCTCGCTAGAAATAACATCAAAAGTGCAAACAATTTGTCAGAAATATACATTTACACACAAACTGACCACCAAATGCAACTTTCAGAAGCTTCATTATTTTTTTAGCTCAACCGTCACGGAATGGAACCCACAGGGTTGTGGGATATCAAAGGCAGTGAAGGATACATCTATGCTGCCTTCAAAATTCGATGAATAATAATAAATCAGAATTTCAATTCGGACGTGCCTTGATGCCTTCCCGCCTTGGAATGCTGCCTCCGAAGGCAGCATTTTAGAGCTTCCGGATGCAGCCATATTCTTTCAGCTATATATAGCTTAATAACTGAATAATTTTTTTTTAAATCTTCCTGACCCCAAACTTTTGATGTTGTTGATTAAACAAAAAAAGGTAAACTTAGTTTTGTCTCTTTTGTTGACCTTCCTATTCCGTGTTTTAAATAAAGAGGCCACTGTCTATTTGTTAACACTGTTGATACACTGTTGTCCATCTCATCCCACTTGTTTCTAACTTATACGGTTAACTCGGCAAAGTCTGACCCCTCAATCTCGCCCTCATGCTCTGTGGTTATGGCAGATGGGGTGCTGGTGGCCATACAGGTGGAGGCGTTAGTCTCTATACTGGCTGCGGTCTCCGCACTGGTTATTGTCCCAGTGCTGGTGCTCTCTATGCTCCCAATGTGACCACAGCTGCCACAGTTTCCCCAGAAGCAAGGCAGAAATTGTGGCATATCCTTGTAGAGCTCTTTGCAGCGCAGGCCAAACACCACAGGGCTCAGGGACTGTGCAAAACTGAAGAGGATAAAAATCGACACTGCTATGGGGAGCGCCTCCTGATGCCGGGAAATGATGATGAGAGAGGGAAGAATGTGCAGGCTCATCTGCAGGCTGTGGATGAGAATGGTGCGGCGGCCTTTACTGTTGGATCGTGTGAAATGGCCAGCACGTCTGCCTTCCAGGTAAATCGCCACGTAGCTTATGATAATAAGCAGCACCAGCAATAACAGCAATACTAAAGCGCTGGCGATGCATGCAGTGCCCTCCAAAGCTGTGGAACACTCTGTGTCCAGCCCGACCATGTAGTCCCACGGAAAGCTCACACAGGCTCGGATGGTGAACACCACGGGGTTGAGTAGGGAGAGAATGCAAGCCACAAATGCGACCCAGCGGTAGAAGCGTTGGACCAGAATGGGGTAGCGGAGTGGCATGCAAATGGACAGACAAGTGCTGATGGACATCAGTGTGAGGGTGATCATCAAACCTCGTGCCATCACCACCTGCAGGTCGAAGAGGATCCAACAGGTGATTCGAGAGACTGGCCAACGTAGGCTGCGAAGAGCGTGTACAACTGCGCCCATAATGTTGAAGCCGGTCACACAGATGCAGTGCTGACACAATAGGATGTAGCGAGGGTTCTGATGCAGCTGCTGGTTGTTCCGCACTGTTGCTATGATGAGGCAGGTAAAGAGACCAGTGACAATGAAAGCTCCAAAGTGGACAAATGATTTTATGGTCTCCAAAAGCCTATTGCTATCAGCAAGATTGGAGCTGGTCACTTGAAAAAAAGTCAAAAAACAATGTTAGCTAGATGGAGATTGAGAACATGAAGTCACAAATCAACAGAAGCAGATGCCCGTGTTGTGTTCAAGAAAACACTAGAAATCTGACCAATACAACTTTTTGGACAACATTTTACAGTTTAGTGTGAGAAAACTAGAAATCCACTCACCTGTTTGAAGCACAAAAGCCAAATCCATCCGATCACTGGTGTTAGTCATTTTTGATATTGCTCCCAATGTGACCACAGCTGCCACAGTTTCCCCAGAAGCAAGGCAGAAATTGTGGCATATCCTTGTAGAGCTCTTTGCAGCGCAGGCCAAACACCACAGGGCTCAGGGACTGTGCAAAACTGAAGAGGATAAAAATCGACACTGCTATGGGGAGCGCCTCCTGATGCCGGGAAATGATGATGAGAGAGGGAAGAATGTGCAGGCTCATCTGCAGGCTGTGGATGAGAATGGTGCGGCGGCCTTTACTGTTGGATCGTGTGAAATGGCCAGCACGTCTGCCTTCCAGGTAAATCGCCACGTAGCTTATGATAATAAGCAGCACCAGCAATAACAGCAATACTAAAGCGCTGGCGATGCATGCAGTGCCCTCCAAAGCTGTGGAGCACTCTGTGTCCAGCCCGACCATGTAGTCCCACGGAAAGCTCACACAGGCTCGGATGGTGAACACCACGGGGTTGAGTAGGGAGAGAATGCAAGCCACAAATGCGACCCAGCGGTAGAAGCGTTGGACCAGAATGGGGTAGCGGAGTGGCATGCAAATGGACAGACAAGTGCTGATGGACATCAGTGTGAGGGTGATCATCAAACCTCGTGCCATCACATGATAATAAGCAGCACCAGCAATAACAGCAATACTAAAGCGCTGGCGATGCATGCAGTGCCCTCCAAAGCTGTGGAACACTCTGTGTCCAGCCCGACCATGTAGTCCCACGGAAAGCTCACACAGGCTCGGATGGTGAACACCACGGGGTTGAGTAGGGAGAGAATGCAAGCCACCAATGCGACCCAGCGGTAGAAGCGTTGGACCAGAATGGGGTAGCGGAGTGGCATGCAAATGGACAGACAAGTGCTGATGGACATCAGTGTGAGGGTGATCATCAAACCTCGTGCCATCACCACCTGCAGGTCGAAGAGGATCCAACAGGTGATTCGAGAGACTGGCCAACGTAGGCTGCGAAGAGCGTGTACAACTGCGCCCATAATGTTGAAGCCGGTCACACAGATGCAGTGCTGACACAATAGGATGTAGCGAGGGTTCTGATGCAGCTGCTGGTTGTTCCGCACTGTTGCTATGATGAGGCAGGTAAAGAGATCCCAGAACTCCTCAGAGTTACAAAGCTGGAGAGAAAACCCCCCACAACGGAGTTAACAGACAACATAGACAATTTACATGTAACCATTTAACACAGCAACCTCAAAAAGTAATTAAAAAATTGGAATAATGTAAAAATGTTAACATTTCACGTGAAATGTTTTGCTTCAAATGTGTGCTTGAGCTATATTATTTAAAATAAAAGCCATCTGGATTTGTTAAACGACACGTTTAACAGCAAAGGGATTACAATAGGCCTTACCTCTTTAAACCTACGGCAGGTGCGTGAAAGGACTGAAATGTCTTCAAGGTCCAGATGTGCCATGATGTTGAAAAGTAAAGCATTGGGGAGACGGACAATGTAATCATAGTGTCCCTGGCATATATTTTGGGAGTACTGCAAGATGTGAGGACCAAATACCATGCCCACTTGATCTGGATGAGACAGACCAGATTGTTCATGGAATGAGCCACAGTTTACATTAGGAGACTTTACACACTTCATTTGAAATTTATCTTAAAAATATGAAGTGTGTACAAGTCTGGAATAGTAAGAAGCACAATAATATATACTAACACTGACTGAATAACTCACTTTGCAGACGATTGTCTTCTAAAAAGTCTTCATGTGATTCTGTCAGTTGTCCTGGTGGTGTGTTCCTGCAGTCTGATCTCAAAGATATCTTCCACCAGCTCCAAATTACCTGCAGTGAAGGATGTTATTAATTATGATAAATAATATCTAACAATAAAGATCTGAAAGTTTATGTCTGGTAGGATCTCCAGTAGAAACCAATAACTAGTGTCTTTATGTAAAATATCTCTAACATTTCAACTTTTACATTTCAGTGTGATCTTTAAAGAACATAACTTGCAATTTGGTAACATTTGTGATTTGTAACTTGCAATTTAGCATTGCGTTTGGAAGGCCTAGAAGAGAAGAGATAAACAAACAGCAAACCTTTGGTCATGTCGCTGCCGCTAACTTGTGTTAACAATATAAACAACTCGACAAACCTGAGATTTTGTTATTGCAAAGTGGAAATAGTCCTTTATTGGAGCAGGACCTTGTCCACTGATCTCAAACAGAGTTTCTCCCAGTAAACTCGCCATTCCCGGATTCCGTTGACGCGTTACCAAGACAACATAATCTCCAGCCTGCGTCATCTCCAGAGGGAATTATTAGTGTGTTTCACACTCATCCCCGACATATTAGATATCACATTCTGTCGTTGACTGGATGCTGCCTGTTCCTATTTACTGTATGGACGGACGCTTTTCTCTTTACTAGACGAATAGTCGTGTCTTCACGAACGCTGCGTTAAAGTCGAATGTGTTAAACGGTCGCCTGCCATCGGGAGCACGGTTTTGGCGTCGCTTATGTCAGGCAATGGTCATCTGAAACATTATACTGCATTATATATTATGTTCTAGTTAGCTAATAGGTTCTGCTCATCGGTCATAGTCCCTACATACCACCTAGATGTGTCATAGCAAAGCATCTGAATACTTAAGTAACATCATTGCAGTATTTTGAAGGCTTTTTTTTCTTTTCTATAAAATTTGGCAAAGTTCCGTCTTATGGCTTTGTCACCGTGCAGTGTGTATATGTTTAGTGTAGATGTGAACAATTAAAATGTGAAAAAAGTAAATGGTTTGAATATATAGAATTTATTTGGAATATAATGAATTTATGACTACTATTTTAACCATAACCATACAGCTTTGTTGACAAAAAATAAAATGGACGATTTCATCTGGCAGCTTTAACAGAATAAATGTAGAAATCATGCAGCTTTGATCATAGGTAAATGCGTTAATTAAAATGTTCTTAAGATCATTTGATGACTGTTCATGCAAGAACAGAGGAGTTTAAGTAATTGATGGGGGGGGACTGGTGTCAGTCTGTGGGTGTCAATTTGATTAATTAGTTCCATCTGCTTTTTATTTGCTCCAGTAGTTGTAAAGGCAGCCTAAAATGAATCTGGTTTAAAACGTAATTTATTCCTGTTTGGCCAAGCTGAATTTTCAGCAGCCATTACTCCAGTCTTCAGTGTGACATGATCATTCTAATATGCTTATTGGGTGCTCAAGAAACATTTCATATTATTATCAATGTTAAAAACAGTGGTGCTGCCAAGTAGTTAAAATCCTTTTCGTTCAAAACCATTAAAAAATTCTTAATTATTCCAAACTTGTTCAGCAGTGTAGGGTGGGAGATATTATTATAACCATGCATATCACGTAGAACAAACTAAAAACTCAAGCAATGCTCGAGGAGGTACAAACAAATAAAGCACAAACAGATGCATGTAACAGTAGTTAAAAATCATTTAATATTTTATACATATATTTATATATGTACACATTAACTTGTATACCTGTAATGGTAACTTTTGATGTTGTCAAAAATCCATCAACGGAGATCCCCGCAGGTCAGACCTGCCAATTTCCCAAGGTGCAGCTATAGAGACCCAGAGGGGAGATCATAGAAAAGCGAAATCTACCACTTACATCTACTTCAGTCCTTTTGTGCTGTAGACACCTGCTTTATCTACATAGATGAGCTCCTCTGCCCTTACAATAGATGTCAGGTTTTAATCCAAACCATGTTTTCTTACCTCCTTGAGGCGATAAGTGACATCTATTCCTCACAATGTGTTTTGGCCTCAACAGAACGGAACATTTCTGCTAGAGCAGGTGCTAAGGACAAACTGAAATTGTTTGTAACATCTAATCACAGCATCCCTAGACACCATTGTGTTCTGCTGTTCTGTCACAGTTTCTCTTTGTGAATAACATGTTTTTAAAAGGATTACAAATGCTGATATGCACAAGTTTACCGTCTAGGCATAAAACATTACTTATTGAGTTGAAGGCATAAATGAGGAGGGACAATCGTGGAGTTTTGTCCAGAATACACAGATGGGTGGGGAAGACCGTCACCTGCGTATCCACAGCTCTTTCTCTAGAAATGTCGAAGACTCAGTGCAGTAAATACAAAATCTGAATACTTTCAGATTCTTGAAGACAATGTTTTAGAGCATTGGTGATGCGGAATGTGTGCGTGACGCTGCTGAGATGTGGCGTAAAAAGCGTTTTAAAGAAAGGGGTTTGTGGAGGAACCTCCTGTGGGGTACGGTCCCGCCGGACCGCCGCCCTGAAGAGAAGACGACAAGACACGACAAAAAAGGGTTAAAATATAAACATTACATTCTAAAACTAGACAGGCAAAGACAAAAAACAAGTGTAAATATGGGTATGGCATACACAAGTTGGTAAGATTGGCTGACGGAGAAAGCCCTGAGTAGTGACACCCAAGTCGCTTCTCTTTTGTTCATCAAATAAGAGATTTAATTATTGTGTATTCATATAATAATAATTGCTAGCTAGAATCGCTACTACTACTGAATGCAACTTTAATTTTTGTGGAATGTGGGACTTTTGACTAATGTTTTCAGCAACACAAATGGTAATTCACTTAAAATACAGGCAACAAAATTATATCTAAAAAGTGCAGTGAAGATTAAAGTGTTTTCAGACCTGTAGTTTGTTTACTTTGCAGTTACTTTTGGGACAACAATGTTACAATGTTGCATTTATAAGGCAAAATTTAAACACTAACCTAATATGCGTGCACTGTCTGTGTTCCAGGGTTTAGGTAAGCATTTTTGGATTTCAAGATGACTTTTGTCTTCTTTTGGTTAATCACCATTATTTCTGCATTTCAGTTTTAAACAAAAATAGAGTTTTCTTATTTTTCCAATTGCTTTCTTTATTCTTTCATTTTTCCAAGAGAAACACAAGAAAACTTTACTTTATATTGGGAGGCCCTTAAAGGGATCATGAACTGAGAAATCAATATTCCCTTTTGACATAGAAGTTGTCATTGTGATATAAAAACATTTCGTAAGTTTCAGAAATCAAAACTTTGTCGCTAGTCTAAAAACAGCTTATATTGAAGGCAGTCTGCCGAAAACGACAGCTTTCTATCACCTTTGAATATTGTGTTGGATTATGGGGGACGTTGAGTCCAAAAAGTTGAGAACCACCGTTTTAAAGCAATTAATAAAGAATGTCTATCATACTTTGTATTTACATCCTAGCCACTGGCTTGCTTACCATGAATGGGTTGCTGGAGATGCCAGGTCCTGTGACCGCCTGCCCATAGTTGCCCATAGGTTTGGCCTGTCCATAGGCTGGAAAGCCCCCTGAGGACGACCATAAAAGAAGAACGGCTATGGAGCTAAAGTATTACACTGACAGACAATGCTAAAGCACTGAACCTGCTACTCCATCACATGCAACACCAAAACTCACTTCAAAGCACGAAAATCAAAAAGAGCTGATGCTTAACAAAATACAAAACCAAGCCTTTCTCATGACTTATAAGAGTATGCATAAAAGAAAGGTATAAGCCACTGGGGGATTGGGCCACCTCACACTCACAAAAACACAAATATAGTCTCACATACCATTGGGCTGTTGGTGGTAGGCTGCAGGTGGGGGAAAGGGACCTTGGCCAGGGAATTGCTGCTGGAAGGTCCCACTAAAACTGGTTGGCAGGCAGTAACTGGTTGTGTTCCCAAAGCCAGCTGGCATGCTCATAGAGCCAGTGCCAAATGAGGCTAAAGTAAATAAAAGGAGACCAGAGGAGGAGTAGCATGTTTCATCTGCTCATTCCTTAAATGGACACACACATAACGGGCATGCTGATCTCGACCAAAGCTAGGTTTTACCTGAGGCTGCTGCTCTTCCATTGGCTTGGAATGGATTTGTGGACATGGGCTCCTGAACCATCCCAGCAGCCACAAATGGGTTTGTGGAGGGGGCAGCTACACAATAAAAAGAGTCGAGTCAATTAAAAAAAACTAAATGTTAAAACTAACCTACTTAAAGGGGTCCTATTATGCTTTTTCACTTTTTCAACTTTAGTTAGTCTGTAATGTTGCTGTTTGAGCATAAAAAAAGATCTGCAAAGTTACAAAGCTCAAAGTCCAGTTCAAAAGGAGATATTTTATTTAACAAATCACTTTTCAAAAACTACAACGAATGACACGTTTGGACTACAATGCATAATTTCCGGGATTTGTGATATCACAGATATCGACGAGACCTGGTTGAGCTGCACTAAAGAAGGCAACGAGTGTTATCACTATGTCGGAGACACGCTAGCTTTCTCAAGGCAGACCAACTTAGAGTGTTTACAATCATCCGGGTTTAAATCGCGCTCAAATTGATTTGATTTTGACGCAATATTTACACTGAAGCTAGCAGCTCCTATTGTAAGGGTCATGACATTTCCCGACCAGGCGCCGAGTGCTGCCAATCACAGCACACACTGGCCCAGCTAACCAATCACAGCACATTTCGTCTTTCAGAAGGCGGGCCTTCATTTGATACAGGAACTATTCGAGCCGTTCATGTCAGACTGGGGAGAGAGGTGTTGTAATAATGTAAAATATGTGAAAAATTAAGTGTTTTTCGAACAACTTAGTATTAGAGCCTGTTCTAGTACACCCCCAAAACAAAATCAAGACTTTGTAAAAGAGCATAATAGGACCCCTTTAAAAGAATCTTAAAAGCTCCACCTGCAAAACCCTGTTGCATGTTGGGTAGTCCCGGCTGAGATGGAGGTGCAGCAGCTCCTGGGACGCCTCCAAACACACTTTGGTAGCACATGCACACACAAAAAAGATATACATGAGCACACAAAAAAGATTAAAGCCTAAAAAGTAAGGTGGATTGTGCAGCAAGCAATACAGTAATCTCGCACCCTTGTACGCTTCCACTTGTAACGGTTGAACCGAGGGCACTGTCAAGCTCAGCCAGGGCAGCGTAACGGTCCTTTGTTGATAAACTGCTCTGAGGCGGGGCAGGAACCATACTGGGTAGTGGAGGAATGGACATGCCTCCACCTGAATGGCAAAAATGATCTTTAGCCTAAATGTATTCAAGTCTTATTGGATTAATAAACATAAGGGTCAACAACAAAACAGTTTTCACAATAAAAAAACAAGATATATTGATAAAGGATGTACTCTTTGTATTCATGTTGGTTTGTTATTATGGCTTTTACACCATTTTCAAGATAATGACATGTGGTATTATCATCAATTAATACATATTATTTTCTATTAAATAATAATATCTAATATCTATTAAATATTGTACCAAAAACTTAAAAAAACTATATACTAATATACTAAAATAACTTAAACACAAAGTTACATAGAAATATAAAAACAATAAAATAATAAAAAGGAAAGCACAAAAAAATTACTCAAATTAAAATGAAGACTGAAAACACAAAGTTCATT